TCTTGAAACATTCTTTGTGACAATGAATGCCATGCCACTCCTCTTCGTCATTTCCAGCATAGTAGATCATATGGTTATTTGATTCAAAATGGCCCAAACCAGTCCATTTCAGCTTACTAATGCCTAGGTTATTGATCTTTATGTGTTCTATTTCATTTTTGACAAGTTCCAATATTCCTACATTCATATTTTGTACATTCCATGTTCCAATTATTAATGGAACATTAATAATGCAGCTGTTTCTTCCCCTTTTGAATCATGCCACATCAGCAAATGACGTGACTCCTTCACTTAATTAAGGTTGACTCTGTTTTGAGGAGGCTGCTCTTCCTTCCCCAGTCGTATTTTGAGTGTCTTCTGACCTAAGGGGCTCATCTTCCGGCACCCTATGAGATAATGTTTCAGGGCTATAAATAATGTTTTCCAATAATGTAACAGACAATGTTTCACTGCTATTCATAAGGTTTTCACCAGTCATTCTTTGAGAAGTAATAGCGCCCTTCTCTCTTCCGAGTCTGTCTTAGTCTGGACACTCCATTGAAACCTGTCCACAGTGGATGACCCTGCTGGTATTTGATATACCTGTGGCATAGTTTCCAGCCTCACAGCAACACACAAGCCACCACAATATGACAAAGTGACAGATGAGTGGTGGAATATGGTGGTAGGACATTTTAAATACGTTCAAAAAAGCAGTGTAAGGAAAGGGCTGGCCTGTTTAATACATAACTGAAACTTTAGTATTCACACTGTAAGACAAAGAAAGCAGTTAAAGAAAGGCATACTTTTATGTATTAACTCCTTTATTAGTCAAACAGTGTGGCCTTCCAACTCCCTTTTAGCAGCCTAGGGTAGTGTCTCTTTTATGTGCTTGCAATCCCCAGTGTTAGAAAAAGGCATGTTGATGAGGTCCATGGAATCTGAACGCCTGGGGGGATAATTATATAGCTTTCACTGGACTCTCAGAGTGGACCCAGAACAAAAGACTATTAAGAACCACTAACTGAAGTCAAGTAGTACTCTAAAAGGAGTAAGGAAAGAATTATATTAACTTTTAAAAATCATGGACAGTATCATCTTGAGAATAAATTCCGTCTTATAACAGCAAAACAATCTCTAGAAACTAAAATAAAATCTAACTCTTCACCACAGTGTTCTCAGTATTTTTATGATTAATATATTAATGTAGATATTCCCTAGTCATTTGAAGGAATGTAGTTGACTGGTAGCCACAAACATTATACCTTTTCATTTCACTTTTCTCTCCAAAGTACAAGCAACTCAAAGAAAGATTTTTAGGAAGTCATAAAATATAACTTCATAAGTAAATTTTACTCTACTACATTTCTGATCAATATATACTCTGTGAGGTATATGTTCATTTCCAAATAATAGGAATTGCTTTAAGGAAAAGTGTTTCTGCTAAACAGTTTTATAGAAAATAGTCTGCCTCAGATACCACTAGCAGGTAGTAGGAAATATGAGGAACAGAGGAACATACTGAACAAAAGCACAGGGATTAAAATCAGCCAAAGTCAAAATGTGGAAAATTCCAAAGGACAAATGACCTATTTCTTAAACAAATCCATGACATAGGAAAAAGGGTGGAGCAGAACAAACGTTAAAAAAAAAAAAAAAAAATTAAGACTCATCAACTAAATATAATGTGTAGGCTTTGTTTAATCTAGATTCAAACCAACTAATTATAAAAATACTTTTTTGAGACAATTGAGGAAAATTTAACATGGCCTAGGAATTAGATGATATTGTTCATTTTGTTGGGTGTTACAACAGTATCATGGTTATATTAAATTTGTAAAGTTCCTATCTGGTGTAAAATCAACAAAAATATATCCAGGCAAAATAATATGATATCCTGGATATGTTTGAAATATGCCATATGTATTCATGAATTTTATTTGTAATTAAAATGTAGGTAAAATTCAAAAGTAAATATTGTTGTTGTGTTGTTGTTATGTGCCATCAAGTCATTTCCGACTCATAGCGACCCCTCCTTGGGTTTCCAAGGCAGTATCTCTACAGAAATAGATTACCCAATCTTCTTTCCAAGGAGTGGCTGGCTGGTGGGTTTGAACCACCAACCTTCTGGTTAGCAGTCAAGTGCCTTATTCACTACACCTCCAGAGCTCCCACATAAATTATACAGTCCCAAAATTTATTTATAGTATATATAAAATGTAGTTAAATGTGAGCAGAATGCCTAAAATGAATAATTTCCTCCAGAGAACTATGCTGTTTGGCTTAAGTTAAGCAGAGTTTAATGTTTGTTACTAACTAAATAATTCTGTTATGCAATCCATAACATAATTTTTTGATTTATCCTTTTTTTATTCCTCTCATGTGGCAAATTACTTTATCTGCCTAGGCTACAAGCCAGTAAGAACAGGAAAGTTCATGTATTCATTGGCATATTTTTTTCATTTTTGATATTTAAAAAAATAATATTGTAGCAACTCCAACTCTGAACACTGAATCATTCAATGGACTAGTAAGGATTGGAAAAATAGCTCAAACCGTACTATTGGTGGCAAACTGAAAACTACTATTCAATAAAGGTTTAGATCCAGTCATCATACCACCTCTCACACTCTGGAAGCTTAGAAATTACACAGATATCCAAAATATGGCCATCCATGCTCACATCGCAAGAAAGCTCTTAGCTTAGACACAAGCATTCCTCATGACAGGAAAAAGTACCAAGGTAAATGTCTAATAACATCAAAGATTTCTGATAATTTCCCATAGAAAAAAGCAGAAAACTCCACCTTTCCCTATATAAGGAAGGCTTCAGTCCCTCCAAGATGGATAAGGAAGAGAGTCAAGTGTTTACTCTGACCATGATCCAAATCTGGCAGCAGAAGTGGTAGAAACACAATGCCAGACTGTCTGCCACAGTGCTTGTAAAAGCACTACCTCATTCAATCCTATTCAAGGAGAAGGAATATCCTGTAGAGTAAAAAGGGCTCAGAGAACACCTTAGTTTCCATCAACCTTACACCTGCACTACTCCACAAATAATCTTTAAAAGTTCTTTTGATTTTGAACTGGACAGTTGATACTTCAATGGGTGTAAAATATACCTGATTTTTAATCTTTGTTTTTGCTATCACTGTGTAGTTTTTATTTTAATTTGAAATAAGTAAAAGAAGTCCAGAATAACTGATTGGATGGATAATTTCTTTTATAAGGATCAGCACAAAGCTGGTCCCTATAAGGTAGAGGTTAAAGATGTCCCAAATATTCAACTTTTCCAAACTGCCGTACCTACCACTCCATCATCTCTAACATCAACCACTTCCTCTCCCCTTAGTACTCTCCCTCCCATCTTTGGATTCTGTAATTCACTGCAACATCTCACAGAACTCACAAGGAAATGGTCCCTGAGGTTGTGGAGGCTGGCAAGTCCCAAATATGGACTGGAGTCAGGCATCAGGCTGGAGGCTTCTCCTGACACATGGTTTCAGAGGCTAACGAACCCAAATAGGCAGGTCAGAAGACAAGCAGCCAACTCACAAGGATGTGGAAGCTGACAAATCAAGTCAGACAATAGGCTGATGACTTACCACAGATGAGATGATGACAAGCCTGATGCAGGATCCAGAGCAAGAGAGGGAACCTTACCAGAGCATTGATATATAGATTGGATGCAGACCACATCCTCAAGGAAACTTCCCTTACTTGACCAAGGCAGTGCAAGGATGTAATCTGAATAAGAGTAGTAAGATGGGGACTTGGGTAAGAGTGGTGATTTGAGTCACAGCCCCTAGTAAAGTGGTGACTCAAGATACATCCTATCCTAACCCTGACTTATGAATAGCATACAAAAAACAAAAAAAAAAATTAGCTTTTATGCCTGTTAAGTCTATTCTGACTCATAGCAACCCTATAGACAGAACAGAACTGCCCCCACAGGGTTTCCAAGGCTGTAACTCTTTATGGAAGCAGAATGAGTCATCTTTCTTCTGTGGAATGGCTGGTGAGTTTGAACCACAGACCTTTTGGTTAGCAGCCCAATGCTTTAATGACTACCTCACCAGAGCTCCTACATAACAGACAATTCACTCTCAAGTAGGGAGACATCCAAAACCAAACCAAACTCATTGCCATCTAGTCAATTCTTACACATAGTGACCCCCATTGGGTTTCCAAGGCTTAAATCTTTATGAAAGCATGCTCTCTCATCTTTCTTCAGTGGAGTGGCTGATGGGTTCAAACCACCAAGCTTTTGGTTAGCAGCCAAATGCCTTAACCACTACACCACCAGCTCTGCTTAAAAACAGCCATAGAGCTACGATTTACGAAAAAAAAAAAACTCACTGCCATCAAGTTGGACCTGACATAGCAACCCCTCCTTGGGTTTCCAAGGCATTATCACTACTGAAGTAGATTGCCCAACCTTCCTTCCAACGAGTGGTTGGTGGATTTGAACCAGTCTTCTGGTTAGCATTCAGGTGCCTTAGGCACTATGCTACCAGAGCTCAACACATCACAAAATAGAAGGTAATTATATCAGATCACAAAATGGATGACAATGACATCAGACATCAAAATGGAGAATAGCTATATCATTACATAACTAAGAAATCACATCATTACATTACTGCCAAACCCCTGAAAATCATGGCTCAGCCAAACTGACACATGACCTTAATTAATCATCACAGGTTTCATATACTTCATCACTTATAAGTGATATAAGTGATACTTACCTTACATCACTGACTTGGTTCTACCTGGCACACACACTCACTAAACGTCTGTTTATGTTTTTTTAATAAATAAATAAGTAAGCACTTTCCCTGACTTAATGGTTAGAAAACCCACGATCCTGAGAGATTAGGTAAAAAGTAAAGTATTTGGAGTTCTGAGAGAATGGAGTGGGTGCAGGGAGATGGCAAAGGCCCAGCAATGAGCACTATGCAACCTAAATTCTTGGTACCTGGAGTGTGACAAGTAGAAAGATGGTGGCTGTGATGCACAGGCAAGATGCCAAAAACTTCCTCCTCCGAATGTACACCATGCTGCCCTGCCCTGGATGACTGACAGAGGGCAAGCTTGGCTACCATGAGTTCTAGTGTCTGCCCATATCCTGAGACAGCTTCATGCAGAGAAACCATCTGGGTGCCAATTTCCTCCACTGCCATTCCTGCTGGGACCTGGTCTCCATGAAGGATTGAGTTCCGAGGTTGTGAGTGGGCCTGGCTTGGCATCTAGAGGGAACAGCATGCAGTCTTCTTAAGCTATCATCATAGCAGCTTGAGATTCTCGAAGCCAGAAGGCATCAAAAAATTCTGAAACAAATGAATAATCTTTTAGCCATAGTGTAGAAGATTTAATAAATGTAGTTTTGCATGATTAGTATACAAAAACCCAAAACTTAAAAACTAAAAGGATCATGTAGTCCTAATGCCTTGCTCATAGATAAGAAAACCAAGTCCAGAAACGTGAAATGAGTGGCTCAAGGCCACACAGCTCATTAGAGGAGAGTGTCAGAAATACAATAAGGTTTTGAGTCTACAAGTTGTATTTCTACTTAATATTTTCTGCCATCAGAATACTGAATTCCATGAATCATTTAGTTACAGGTAGTCACGTCATTTGTCTTAATTTTCAAAGGAGTTGAAAAATAGAGTCGAAATTACCAGGCTATCCACTTACACTGATAAAATTGGCAGGGGAGAAAAGCACTCAGGCCCTGATCAAAAATGGATAATGATCAACTGGCCCCTCCATCACCACCCCATTCCCACCCCCATCCCCCAGAAAGAAAACAACTTCAGTCACAATGCAAGGAATTCTGATCATTATTTGCTTATTCTTTCATGACAGGCATAATAAAATAGTGGTTGTAAAATAGTGGTTGTCTAGACAAGGATTCTCTGGAAGTTTTGAAATAAGATACTCATTTGAAATGGATGTGATCTTTTCAAAACATTTTTAAAAATGAACTAAGTGTCCCCATACCAAAATCAAACCAAACCAGGTGTCATCAAAGTAGATTCTGACTCATGGCAACCTATGGGTTTCAGATGGAACTGTGCTCCATAGGGTTTTCATGGCTGTGAACTTTCAGCAGCCAATCACTAAGCTTTTCTTTCGAGGTGTCTCTATGTGGGTTCTAACTGCCAGCGTTCCAGTTAGCAGTCCACTGCTTAACCATTTGTGCCACTCAGGGACTAGTGTGCTCCTAGAGTGCTTTCTATCCCCAAGAATCTGAGGTAAAATGTCTTGTGCAAATGGCACTATGGAATTCAGGGTGGAACAAGGATCAACATTTCAGAAGGACAATGTTGCTGTACAGTGGGATATAGAATTCAAGACATAATTAGAAATATAAAGTTAAAATTAAAACCTATTGCCATTGAATCGATTCTGACTCATAGCAACACTATAGAACACAGAACCGTCCCATAGGGTTTCTAAGGCTGTAAATCTTTAAGGAAGCAGACTGCCTCATCTTTCTCCTATAGAACAGCTGGTGAGTTTGAACCACTGACTTTTAACCACTGCACCAAACAGAAATACAAAAATGGTGTTGTTGTTGTTGTATAGACTTCGGATTTAAAAAAAAAAAAAAAACTTTGATCTTAAAGGTTGTTCTGGTTACCTAGTACCGCTCTGACAAGAAATATACCATAAATGGGATGGCCATAACAAACAGGAGTTTATTCTCTTACAGTTTGGAGGCATTAAGTCCAAGTTCAAAGTGCCAGGCTCTAGGGGCTGGGTGAAAGCCCCTCCACCTTGGGGTTCAGCTCTGCCTGCTGCTCCTGGCCCACTGGAGCTAGAGGCTTTTCTTCACTCAGACAGCTGCTGTCTGCTGAGACTGACAAACCCAAGGCTGACAAAAAAAAAAAGCACAGTCCCCATGTTACCAAACCACACAGCAGGCCATTAATTCAAGTCCATTGCAAGTCCCAAGGTCGGCAGAGCATGGCAGGCTGCTGAAAAACGACATGGCTACATGCAGGGTCCAAGCGTGCCGTAGGCTAGAGACTAGCCCCAAGGCTTCTCCTTATATACAGGAAGCAGACCACATTCCCAAAGGCAGCTACTCAGCTGCCTGCAGTATATCCCACCATGGAATTGATTGCCAGTCTCATCCTGAGGAATAACTACCACCAGCTGCCCAGCCACTCAACCAGGCCCAGCCAAGTTAACATACATATTTAACTACTACAAAGGTGTACTCCCCTCTCACAGATCTACCTTAATTTACTTGTAAGTCCATGACGACTTTTAAACCCACAGCAGCAAAATGACTCTTGATCTCAGAAATCACCAAAAACACATTTTTCTCCCTTCATCCAAGAAATTCTTACAATCTACCCAGGTTAAAAGAACAAGCTCTGGAATCAGTTGGCTTGGATTCAAATCTCAGCTTTCCAGCTGGCTTTACTTAGCCTCTCCATAATTCAACTTCCATAACGTACATAATAATAGCACCTAGTCAAAGAGTTACTGTGAAAATTATATGAGATAAGTGAAACACTTATTTCAGGGCCTGGCAAAACTTAACATTCAATAAATGTTTGCTATTCTTAACTTTAGGAGCTCTGGTAGCATAGTGCCTAAGGCACTTGACTGCTAACCAGAAGGCTGAGGTTCAAATTCACCACCTACTGCTCGGAAGGAAGGTTGGGCAATCTACTTCTGTAGTGATACCACCTCGGAAACCCAAGGAGGGATCGCTATGGGTCAGATCCGACTCAATTGGCAGTGCATTTGGTTTTTTGGTTTATTCTTAACTTTATTATAATTATTATTATCCCTTTAAATGGAAAATAGTTAAATTCATTTAAAAAAAAGTTGCTGCCCAATTAATGGGAACTTCAAAAGGAAAAATACTTACTTTGTCAAAGAAAGAAGGCTACTAATATTCACTGAGTAGACTATCATGAGCAAGACCTTTCCTAAACACATGCACGAATTAACAACTACATGAAGTACCAATTACTATCCTCACTTTATGGGTAAGAAAACTGAAGACAGAGGAAGTAAACTAATTTGATTAAGATTATAACTAGTAAGTACAATCATCAGAAACTTGTCTGGCTCTGAAGCTCATGCATACGAAAAGCAAACCAAAGCAAACTCACTGCCGTGGAGTGGGACCCGACTCATAGCTTATATTTATTTTTTGCTTTACTAAAACTATACAATTTCCACTGGATAATTCTACAGCTCACAGGTTATGCTACAGAACAAAACTGTGGAGAACAGGTCTCTGTCATCTGGTTTACCAGAGGATAAAAGTAGTATGAACCTAGCAAGGTGGAGGAATAGGCAGACAAGTTACCCAGACACTCTACAACAACAACAAAAAAACAAACCAGCTGAAACATATACAGATGATAATCCTGGAACCCTGAGCTTCAAAGATAAGGATAAAAAAGTGGATTAAATACCAACTAGTAGAAGAAGCTGTATGAAAACAGTGTACAAGGAGAGAAACGAAGCTGTGGACTGCCCATATGCCATTCTGAATAACATAAGTGGCATTCCAATTGGGACAACAACATGATAATCAGCTCTGCATGCCAAGGACTACATGGGCACCCACACTGGTGGCTGATGACCAGAAAGCAATTGTACCCATACAACCCAACCACATCTGTACCTCCTGCAGCCCCACCCACTTGGCAAGGGCCACCACCTGCTTCTGCACCAAGTAATTACCAATAGAAGGCAGCCAATACCAGCCCAACCTGCCCTCAACTGCTCTACATGAACAATGAACAGAGATATCTGCACACATTCTCATTTTATATCACAACAATCATGAGACTGGTGGTGAGTGCCTAAGGGCTGCCAAACTTGCGAAAGAGTAGCACATCAGCCCCACTTGGCTGGATATATCAAAACAAAATAAAGCATAAATAAATAAATAAATAAAAATCTGGACGAATCACACCAACATACAATCACCAATGAAACACAAATGCAATGACCTCACAATGTCTCAGAGACAACTGACAATCCCAGTCCACATAAAGAAGCAAGATAAAGTAGTTTGTACTAAAACAAGGGACCAGAAAACAGAGCCAGAAAACCTCCTTGAGAAATGAATCATTGGAAATACCTGACTGTGGATCAAACTAACAAAAAATCTCTGACAACTTCTATCTTTTCTCCATTTACCATGATGTTGTTTATTGGTCCACTTGTGAAGATTTTTTATTTCTTTATGTTGAAGTGTAATCCATATTGAAGATTATAGTCTTTGATCTTCATCAGTAAGTGTTTCAACTCATCTTCACTTTCATCAAGAAAGGTTGTGTCATCTGCATATAACAGGTTGTTAATGAGCCTTCCTACAATCATGATGTCATGTTCTTCATATAGCCCAGCTGCTCAGATTATCTGCTCAGCATAATGATTGAATAAGTATGTGAAAGGATACAACCATGATCCAGGCCCTTCCTGATTTAAAACCCTGCTGTACTCCCTTGTTCCATTCAAACGACAGCCTCTTTGTCTATGTACAGATAACTCATGAGCACAAGCAAGTGTTCTGGAATTTCCATTCTTCACAATGTTATCCATAATTTATTATGATCCACACAGTCGAATGCCTTTGCATAGTCAGTAAAACACAGGTAGACATCTGTTGTAGTTAAGGTTATGTGTCTGGGTCAGGTTTTGAGTGGCTGTACAGCTGGATGTAGTATTCCCCATGATAGAATGGTAATCACCTCCATGGTGGAATCTACTGTGAGTAGTCGAGTAGCTGCTTTAGGGACATAGTCTGGTTCCAGTATATAAGAAGCTTTGAGGAAGGTCTCCAGCTTCTTGGCATATCTGGATCCTGCATTTAGTCAAGTCATCAGTGTTCTGCCATGCTGTTTGCTGATCTTGGGACTATTTCTGGACTTGAACTAGTGGCCTGCTGTGTTGATTAAAAATTTTGGAACTGTGCCATTTGACATGTCAACCTTGGGTTTGTTAGCCTTATCAGCCAGCAGCTGCTTGATTTAAGAGAAGCCCCCAGTAGGCTGGGAGCAAGAGGCAAAGCTGAAGCCCAAGGTCGAGGGACCTTTACCCAACCCCTAGAGCTAGCACTTTGAACTTGGACTTCTAGCCTCCTAAACTGTAAGAGAAATCACCCTTTGTAATATTTTCTGCTAGAGCAACACTAGACAACCAAAACAGCATCTTTCTCATATTCTTTGCTTTCAGCTAAGATTCATATGACATCAGCAATGATATCCCTTGTTCCACGTCCTCTTCTGAATCCAGCTTGAATTTCTCGAAGTTCCCTGTCAAGATACTGCTGCAACTGTTTTTGAAT